TTTTTAACATCTGCTAAACACCATTAAGGCCCATTAGTGCCTAGTAAAACCGCCTGTTTGAATTGGTTCAGTTTCATCTGACACATGTTGAAATATATAAATTATCAAGTCTGCATTTTTGCTCAGGATTATAGCCTTAATTAAGTAGAATCTTTTGAGCTTGTTAGATGATGCGATGCTGCCTTCACTTTAATCAAACTGCTTCAGGTTAAACCATCTAAGAAAACGCTTTGATGCCAAAACACAGAGACAGACTCAAAGTAAATCACTTTTGAGCCATCTTAAGTCTGTACCATCTGTCACAACTGTTATACGCACAAAACTGAGCGGACTGCAAATTAAACTGTAATTTAAATGCAATAATGACAGTGTTAGCATCAGTTCACATATGTTAGCTCAACAGCTTATTTTACTACTTGCAATAGAATTAGCAGACTCATGTTGGTGTTTACTCTTCTTTTAGCTCAGTTCTTAATCTGCGATTATGTATAAAGACAGTATAGGTCTCCATTAGTCCGTCACTAGAAACATCCCTTTTCACATTATCCTTACTCACTGTTAACATGGGAATATTTAAAAGTGCAGCTTTAAGCAATGAATAGGTTCAATGCAAGTAGCAGGCGACATTATAAATGACTTTCACTTTGTGGAATTACGACATTAGCTGGACTTTTTTTTTTTTAATTTAAAGTATGCCTCCCTTAACTTTAATAGTTTAGGAGAAGGCTGAGGAATAGGGAATGATGGGAATTCATGGATGTTCCAGCTTCAACAGAGTTCTAACTGACATGAGGTGAAGAAAAAGTTCCATATCTCAATTTTGGAATAACTATGCCTTAAATTATTTGGCATACTTACGCTGCTGTGTGCAATGAAAAAAAAAGTAGCTACTGACACCATCACCAGCCAGGAAACAATACAGCATAATGATGAGAGTACCTGTCAAACAAGGTCTTGGCTTTTAACGAGTCCAGAGGAGGAACACAGTGAATCTGCAACCAACCTTTCTCATAGTCGGATATGCTGTCTTTGAGCAAGCAGCTGAGCTGGTGGCCATTGAGATGCAGGAAGCGCAGCTGGTCTCGCAGTGAGGTTTCCTCCAAGACACTCTGGATCACGCGGCCAACGCTGTTCTGAGATATGGGCAGGCCAAGGCCTAAGGCCAGGGTTGGGGTTAGGTCAACCTGCTCCACCACTCCTGGTTTCTCCATTCCCGCTGAGAAGACAGGGCAAAAGGGCAAAGAGTAAAAAAGACACAGCTGGTGCAATGGCTGATGGTGAAATAATAACTGGCATGTTTTTGGCCCAAACAATTTTGATTTTGTTTTGAAAATATTTGTTACCCACAGTGATTTTTTTGCTCCATCTATCAACCTGAATCTACAATCTATCTGGCTATGCTACAGCTGTCCAAGGGAAACATTAGTTGTGTGATCTCGCGTCCAAATGATTTGAAGATGGGGACCAGTCTGCAACCACTTGCAGTCAGCTGCTTTTTTTAAAGGGACTTAGGGCGTAAAGAATGCAATAAAATTGTGGTATAACTGTCTGCTATTAATTTCTGATTGAAAGAGGTCAAGCTGGCAATTACATGCACCAAAATTGTACCAACCAAAACAATAACTTTGGTTACTAGCCGGTGGTAACAGCTATCTGAGGTTTTAGATTTGTGTCTGCAAATACTTGCCAACTAGGAGGTAAGTGGATAACACAAACGGAAGAAGATTTGTCTTCAAAGTAAAAGCCCAAATGTGTCAAAACGGACAACTTTTACTTTGACTGTTTGTGGATCACTATAAACAGAAGCCTAAATCAGAAACCAGAAAATGAACAAATTGAAAGAAAAAATATCATTATTATATGATTTGTGGTTGTCATTTCTTGAAGCTTGTCAGACACTTAAGTTGATACTTGGCTTCCTATCCTGAGCTTTCAAGTATACAAACAGAGAGTGGGAGTATTTTCCCAGATTGTCATTGAAGTGAAGTTTTCAGGTTACAATGATGAACTAAACTGGTGTGTGATATATTTAAAAATGAACAAAGCAAATCACATGTGTGGGGAAATGGGAGAGCCACATACTGAAGCATGAGACAAACCCCACAGCTATGATCTAATTTTGTAATTGGACACAATGAAATAAGCCTGGGAATTATCCATTTCATATTAAAAGGAGATGGATTTGCAACAAGACACGGG